GATACAGGGTGTCCCAATTTCGATCTACATATCAAAGTTGTGATTTTTCAAATGGAATGCCTCAAATTTTATTGCATATTTGGATAAACCACTTCAAAAGAAGAAAATTGATATAACATACTATGGGGTTTTGGTAATTAGATACTGAGATAGATAGTTTTGTCTAGAAAAACCACCCACTTCGGCAACCCCTCAGTTCGCCATTTTGAAATTTGAAGTGCTGAATTTTGTACCAAAAAAACTTACATACCTCAGCTTTTATCTTATTTGTTACTTTTTCGAATTTTAATTTTTGCTTAAACAAGGTGGTCAAAGACGTAAATTGTAGTTTTTCTCAAAAATTTCACCTGCATCACCCTGTATATTTGTGCAAATTTGGATTCAATTTTTTATAACTTTTTTTTGATACTAGACACATAAGGGTTTTTATGGCTATTTTTTCGATTATTATCACGTCTTTTATGGAACGGCATAATTCAATAAAATATCGCATCATCCTTGGAAACAAATAAATTGTTGATTAATTACAAACTGTCAAAATTAGCTTTGTGAGCATTATAATAAAAACGTGTTTGAAAATTAATTTTTCTAAAGAACAAATGGTGAATATGGTGTTCGTTTTGGGTGAGGCCCAAAGAAATTGTGTCCTAGCATCTCGCATTTATAAGCAACGGTACCCTAATTATGCGACATCCAAGGCCGGAAATATTTTCCACACTACGAGAACGTTTTGAATCAAGTGGAGCAGTGCATATAGTAAAAAATGTATAAATAATCCAAGTAACACCAATGAGGCGAATCAGTTGGAGGTTCTATTAAAGTTGCAGGAAAATCTCCTTTAAGTGCACGGCAAATTGGAGCAGAAACTGATATATACAGAACTTCTGTCCAAAGAATTATTCACAAGCAGAGGTACCATCCATATCACCTATGCTTGGATCAAGGCCTTCGTCCTCAGGATTTTGCAGCTCAAATGGAGTTTAGTAGAATAATGCTAAATAAAGTGAGTGAAGAACACTACTTTCCTGGATAAGGTTCTTTTTAGCGATGAGGCAACTTTTAACAGCTTAGGTGTCGTCAACAGGCATAACATACACTATTATGCGATGGAAAACCCTTACTGGGTTTGGCAAATAGATTTCCAAAATAAATGGAGCTTGGATGTTTGGGGAGGAGTTATTGGCAGATAAGTTATCGGGCCTTTCTTTTTCGACAACACATTAACAGGTACCGAAAACTTGCATTTTTTTATCGAGCTTTGCCTTTGCTTTTGGAGGATGTCAACATGCAAACTCGGATGCATAATGTACTTCCAACATGACGGCGCACCTGCGCATTATCATAATCGTGTGCGTAACTATTTGGATACCTGGAGTAACAATCGTTGGATCGGTCGTGATGGGCCTGTATCTTGGCCTCCTAGATCACCAGATATGACACCGATGGACTTCTTTATATGGGGCTACGTTAAGCAAGAGGTTTATAGATATCCACCATCAACACCGGAAAACATGAAGGAAAGGATTAAGGATGCTTTTCTTAACATAAGGGAACACATGCTGAGGGATGTTCAACGGCCATTTATACAAAGACTACGGGTGTGTATTCAACATGGTGGAGATATTTTCGAGCAGTTTTTGAGATTAGGTCTTGAGCACTGATAGTTGTTTGTTTATGTTGTTGTTATAGTTGTTTTTCTCTATTACGTTTGAAGCTGATTTATACTGTTCTGATTGTTATTAGTTTCTACATCAAATCTATACTCTTAGAGGCAATATGGATCTAGCCCACTGTTTGTCTTTTGTTTCCACGGATGATGTGATTTTCTTCCTTAATTTTGGTGTGTTGTTCTATTAAAAGCTTAATAACTCAAAATCTAGTGATTTTATCCGAATCAAACCTTATACCGAAAAAAGCTTATAAAAAATTGAATCCATACTTGCACAAATATCTATTTGAAATTTTTGAGAAAAAGTTCAATTCGCGTTTTTGACCACCCTGTATGAGCAAAAATGCAAATCCGAAAAAGTAACAAATAAGATAAAAGCTGAGGTGCGTAAGTTTTTTTGATATAAAATTCAGCACTCAAAATTTCAAAATGGCGGATGGAGGGGTTGTCGAAGTGGACGGTTTTTCTGGATAAAACATTTTACATCTCAGTAGCTAATTACCAAAACCGCATAGTATGTTATACTTATCTTCTTCTTTTGAATTGGTTTATCCAGATATGCAATAAAATTTGAGGCATTCCATTTAAAAAATCACAGCTTTGATATGTAGGTCAAGATTGGGACACCATGTATAATTGCCAATATTTTAGAAATGTGCCCTCAAATGTCATGTATAACATGCCATAAATAGATTTTCCCAAAATGTATTTGTTTATGAGTAATATTCCGTCCACATATGGATGGGCCACCCTGTATTGTATGAGACAAATATAATATAAAAAATAATGATATCAATTTCATGTGAAGTGATATTCTTTATCTCCTTACTACCACACCGAATGCCGAGAAAATATTATCACTGGAAAATTACGAAAACTGATTTCTGTTGGTTTTTCTGTCTGTAGTCTGTCCGGTGATCCGTAACTCCTAACTCGGAAAGCATAGAAAGTATTATTGGGATTTGACGAAATTCTAAAACTAGGCTACTACCATGCCAATGACATAAATCTCTGAAGGTTTTGGAAACCCTCCCTTTGTTTTACGATGTTGTTAAAATTGCTTACAATTTTTTAGCGTGTACAATATATTTTCTAAACAGGGGTAAAAATTAACAAAAAAATTGAACAATCTGTTTTTTAGTTTTGCAATTTCGCCGCGGTTGTGTCCACCTTAACAGCTATTTCTTATGAAACACGTTTTTGTTCATGTCATGTCTAATTCCATTAGACTGATTCTACAAATAAGTATAAAACGTAAGAGTAGTATAAAGATTTGCCTGACTAAAAACTAATTCAATTCCCTCCATCGCGATCGCTCCCAAGTCGTAATCTATAATCTATCCGAGCGAGCGTGTGCATGCAACGTTGTCCGAAAAAAACGAAAGAAAACCGTGCCTAAATACCCCGCCGAAATTATAGTGGAAGAAAGATGGAACATTAGCTGTGGCCTGTGGCCGTGCCAGAGAGAGACAGCACGAGGGGTAATTTCTTAAAATACACCGAAGCAATGGCGTTTATCGGGCATGGAGTAATAAATGCACACGGAACGGTCTCGTGGCACGGAATGTCAATAATCAAGCAGGAATTACGTTACGTGCACTGTGTTACCGAATAATACTAGGCGCTAGTCTATAGAGAATTTGACTTTAGAAACAACGGGTAACGGGACCTTAATACTCCATTTAACTTGGTATTTAGTTTGAAAAACTGGGATGTCTTTTAAGTTTTGCATATAGAAACATGGTAGGCCGCGCGGATAGAACGTCAGTACTGAATCTTAACCTCACTCTTTAGTAAACTTAAATTCAAAGTTTCACAACAATACGTGCAGTGTTCTCACTACAGTGAATTTTTAAGTATCACCGAGTCATTAGAAAAATGGAACTCAACCGAGAACATTTTCGCGCCATAATTTATTACAACTTTCAGAGACAATTATCGCAACAAGAATGCCTTGCTGAGTTACTGTCTATTTTCGGCAACTAAGCGCCACATCAGTCGACAATGTCCCATTGGTATGGAGAATTCAAACGTCGCCCACGTTGAGTCTTAGCAACAATCCCAGGGTGGGTGCACCAAAAACAGCAGTCACCCAGGAAAACGTCGATGCTGTACGCAAACTCATCATTGAAGATAGACATGTGACATATCGCGAGATTGAGGCGTCCTTGAAGATCTCAAAGACCTCAATTCAAAAAATTTTACATGAAGAATTAGGAGTAAGAAAATTAGTTTCTCGTTGGATACCCCACCTGTTGACTGAAGAGCAGAAAGCAGCCAGGGTTAACTGGTGTCAAAAAACGCTTGACCGTTTCAATTCCGGAAACTCAAGAAATGTGTACAGCATTGTTAGTGGTGACGAATCGTGGATTTACTGTTATGAACCAGAAAATAAACGACAGTCGGCTGTTTGGGTGTTCCAAGGTGAAGAAAAGCCGACAAAAGTCATCCGTTCTCGAAGTGTTTCGAAAAGGATGGTCGCGACATTTGTATCAAAAGCGGGTCATATTGCAACAATTCCTCTTAATGAGCAAAGAACTGTTACTGCGGATTGGTATACCACCATTTGTTTGCCAAAATTCATCACCAAGCTTCGACAAATCAACCCCGAAAGAAGAATCATCCTCCACCAAGACAATGCAAGCTCGCACACAGCCCAAAAAACAAGGCAGTATTTAACGGAAGAAAACGTGGAATTATTGGACCATCCTCCATATAGTCCCGATCTAAGTCCTAACGATTTGTTTACTTTCTCCAAAATTAAAAACAGACTGCGTGGTCAAAGGTTCCAGCAGTTGACGCATTCAAAAATGCCGTTTTGGATCTGCCAGCAAACGAGTGGAATAAGTGCTTCGAAAATTGGTTCGAGCGCAAGCAGATGTGTATTATTCTTCGTGGAGAATACTTCGAAAAACAATAGTCATTTAAAACTACCTGCCGTGTTGTTTTATTTTCATATGCAAAACGTAGAAGACATCTCTCGTATTACGATACGAGTTCTATAATATGGAACTATTCAAAAACTATCCTAATCCTGCGCAGGAGGATCTCATGATGTCAGAATTGCTATGTGATTGGTTACAGAATCAGAAAAGTTCTGGGATAGTTTCATGTGGAACTCGACCATGACTCGTGTATTTGACTCGGAAAATTTATAAATGTTAATTTTGCATCAAAATTCCTGTTTGAAATATCCCAAAATTTATACATGTCATCCGAATATTTGCAACTGGAATTGGAGGTTGAAGGACTGTTTTCGACAGAGACAAAACTTCTTTACGATTTTTATTAGAAATGATTCATATTGCAAATACTTTTATTGTAAACCACCAGCGATTATGTTTTAGGGTGTATCTTCGTTGTGATTTCCTACTTAATGGATTGCATCTTGAGAACAGAATTTTCTACGGACTTTTATTTTTTCATGCACAGTTTGCATTTGGCGCCTGTCACATGCTCAATTTTCATGCGGTGGCGACATCCACACGGTTCGGTAGGCAGTCTTTAAGTTTTGTCCTTATTTAGCCCTGCTGGTGAGTCAGTTGCGTTCTTCTTTAAATTCATTATGATTGTGTTAGTATCTCTCGACATTCATCGATTTTCCATCCCTGAAGAGCTTATCTGTTTTCAGCTTTAGTCTTATGAATGTTGTATGTTTTGCTGAGCCTTTTTTAGATCTAGAAGGTCACTTCTGACCAGAATGCTCTGGTATCAATTAAATGTGGAACCATACTGACTTGGATTAAAAATAAATTGAATTTGATACTTTAGGTTCCTTCCAATTTTATGATTCAGTTGTTCATTGTTAGATAATTCTTGTACAGGTCCAGCTGTCTATGTGATTCACACACGGACTATTTTCTCAATCTCCAGTAAGATTTTCTGAAAAAAAGAAAACATGCATATCAGATAGTTAAACTTACCAAAACTATCTGGACTATTGTGCATTCCTGATGGTCCTGGCATTAATCCTCCAAGTCCTGAAACAATAGTGTAATTGGTATCAGTGCTTTTATTCCAATTCGGTATTCTAGATATATTCAGAAACTGGTAGGTAAGACTGAGAGACTGGGTGACGAGCACCGTCCACACTGATATGCGGTGATATTTGGAGTATCTAATTAAATACGTATTTAGTATATTTATCCGCTCAAGAGTAAACAGTCTGAGTTGTGCACCAACGATGAATATTATAATAAAATAGTATTAGAGAAAAAAAAATTCTCCTAACCAATAGCAGCCGGAAAAACTAATAAGTAAACTAAACTAGTCGAAACTATACAAGTATCCTGTGCTTGAGCTCTCCATCAAAAACTATAGAGTAACACACATCAGGAGAGTAATTCTGCTTTAGTTCGAACTACGGTAGTTAATAAAACTACAATAAAACAATCCTCTCGTAATAAATAAATTCTGTTGACATAAATCACCTTGTCAACTTGTGGCAGTTTAGAGTCGGTAATGTCTTGATTTGATTTTTCAGACGTAGCGTTGAATCAGGGGCTGATCTAAGATGACGCATCGGGTATCGGGCACCGGGATTCAAGGGGGCCCCAGAACTCGACTTATGGACCCCAGAGTAGACATTTATTTTCGAAAATCATGGCGTTCCAGCACCACGCTCTCCAATTATACAGGGACCCCATATGAACAATGTGTTCAGTTTTAAAAAGTTGCGCTTTAGTACATATTGCTCGGTCTGAGTTGCAGATATACTGCTAAAAAATATTCGAGTCCTACCAACATTAGAAGTTTCTTTTGTCTTTTCAAATTGCAATCGAATAGCGATTCTTTCTCGATGTCTTCATCTCTCTTTTCGCAGTGGTAAACACGCCAGTTGTTCATCGTGAACACCAACTAGCTCACGTCCTCGACGACGGTGGCAAATTGGGGCGATAGCCCATAAATCCCCCTTTGGGCATTTCCATAAATTCAGCCCTGCTGATTTACCGCCACTGATAACATCTGCTGGATGATAATTAAACTGCGGGTCAAGCCATTTTTAGGCGCCTGATTAACAACGTTGCATGCCGATAAATGCCACCGACCACGGTTTTTCTCTATCTTTTCTTTTGTTTTCTTACGGCGAGGTATAGTGAAATATAGGCAGTCACTACTGGGCAGTTATCAAATTATCAAGTCTTGGGAATTCAATCGATGGATATGTAGACAGCAGACAACAATTACTGAATGAAAGTTATTACAAGAAATGAGCATCCTGAAATGAAAATTTCTGATATTGAAAGACGTATGGAGAACAAAACAGCCGTACGTCCTAAGACAATTTTCAACATTGCTAAAGAATATAAATAAATTATCTCCATTACACAAGAGGCTGCATTACACGAAGCTGTTGGATACAGTTGACAACTTTGATATGAATGTCATCAGACACAAAGTCCATCAATTTTTTGAAAAGCAGGAACTTGCCACCATAGACAAAGTATTACAGGAGGTTAATAGTGATGAAGACATAATTACTTTCAAAAGGACCACATTCTATAGTTTACTCAAAGAACTTCATTTTGAGTATAAAGAACGGGACAAAAATAGTATTTTGATGGACAGCCAAGAGATTATTTTATGGAGAAGAAATCATTTAAAATCAATAAAGAAATAGCACGACCAGGGCAGGAACATTTATTACTTGGATGAAATCTGGATAAATGCAGGACATACCTAAAGTATGGGCTGAGTCTACAATTCAATTAAATCAGCAAGACAAGTGTTCTTAGATGCACTAACAACTGGCACAAAGCATCCCTCAGGTACGTGTATCTAACCAATTCGTCATTTGTGTTGTAAAAATGGTGTCAAGTAGACTGAATCTATGAGCCCACGTTGAAAACTTAGCTACACTAAACTTAGCTATATCTGGTAGATTTGGAACCAACATCTGTTAGATACTTGCTTGTATTATTATTAGTTTTCTTGAATACTATATGAAATATTTATTTCCAGAAAAAGGAAAACGATTTGTTATGTCACATTTGCAGTTAAGATGGATTTGTGACCACTGCCCTATGGGCATTTGAGACAAAGAAAACGACGACTACCATGATTTAAATGATGGTTTGAAGAAACGCTTCCAAAGCTTGACGGCAATGCCGTCATTGTACTTGATAGTGCTGAATACCACACTACAAAACTAGGAAAAATTCCCACAATGTCCACAAGAAAGGCAGAAATTCAAGAATCACTCCTATCAAAAGACATTAGTTTCAATGAAAATATGGTCAAAGCAGAAGTTACCCATCTAGTCAGGCAGCATAAATATAAATATAATCTTAAGTTATTGACGAAATGGCTAAAAGCCAAAAAAGACCCCCTTATAACTGCGAATTAAATCTCATTGAAACGATTTGGGCAAATATAAAAAACTTCTTGGCTTCAAACAATAAGAACATTCAAATTTTCTGACGTGAATAATTTATTTTATGAAGCTGTCAACAGAGTGACGCTAACCATTGCAAAACTTGCATCCGCCACGTTCAACAGACAATCGTAACAAAGATGTGGGATCTGAACAAAATGATCGATATTCAAATTGAACCTGTAATAATGTAAGTATGTGCTCTTCTTTCTATAAAAATATGTTGTTAGATCATTACAAGACCATTAAGGAAAATCTCGCTTTTGGGCATGTTGTGTTTTGTCTAGGCGTAAATGGACTACAAATGTGGTATAATATCCATCTTGTATACTTGGCAGCAATTTTCTATGGTACGCGAGCTCCTCAAACGAGGCGCCGCACCGCTAGTTTTTTTTAGTATAATAGATGGCCTGCATTTTGAGTGGCCAATTTTGATCAGCCATCGATCTGCCCGTTCCAATACCCTATCTGCCGCCCTTTGTAGACTGCCGCGAACCATATTCTCGGAGCTCGACTGAGCCATCAGGAGTGTCGTCAGCTTAGAGATAGGATGCACAGTTACTCGGACAGGAGGATAAAACAGATACATATCTTATACGGAAGCTGTAAGCGCAACATTAAAATACTGGAAAACGATTACGACGACTCCAAAGTTCAAAACATGACTGCCGGATGTATCGATTGCGATTGTTCCATCACTCCAAATTTGATGAAGCCACAAGGTTCTAATAAGGACGAGGCCTAAGTGGTGCGCTGGTGGATAATCACTTTTTCTCTACTATGAAGATGAGTCTTACCTTTCACCAACATCTTATTTGCCATCAGTCACCTGACAAACGTTAGTTATATCTGACAAATTTCCCTGATTTGTTTTCGCATAGCAGTACGGCAGGATTATTACGTAAAAAACCTACATAATGTCAAAAAACCGACAAAATTTCAACTCGCTGACTGCGTGTTCATTCTGCTTTTGCTTGCTATGAGCGTCTCCAAAAGCGTCATCTGTGGAGGAATGATTTAACGTCACGCTCAATGACCAGCTGCAAGTCAGTGCCTCAGCATGTTTTGTTGGTTGCAGAATGCCGAGATAGTCTGTAGAGCATATCCCTGAGGAGGTGATAAAGAAAATTGGTTGAGTAGCAAGATTGCACCTGGTTGATTGTGTGGTGATTGTAAATATGCTGCCCATGAAGTATATATGAGCCGTTGAAAGCCAGGATGGCCTAAGTGAAAAATACGTTTCCGAGTTGTAAGGTACTAAAGTTTAGATGCTGCTGGTAAATCTAGAATAACAAAACTGCAGCGATACATCAAAATTCCATTAAATGAAGTATCAATTTAAGTATCTAACCGTAAAATACAGGAACATTTTGTGTCCAGGTGTCTTTTTCTTGTGTTTAAGTTTTAGCCCATTTTGCCTTAAAACAGTATTTATATTTGGTTTCATGTATTACTTGAAAATCGAGTTACAGTATGTTTATTGGCGATCTTATACAACGACAGAACAAATTATACAGCAAAAAAAACGTATCTCTTCCACTCAAAAAACTAAAAGTCTATCAACTGACTTAATGGAATTTTTCAAAATTCGTTAGTCTTCTTTTCTCCTTCATTAGCTGGGAGTGGTCTAATATAGCTCTTTGAAAAAACTGTGATGGATTGGAGGTATACAATTTTGAAATTCCTCCATGTTTTATTCTTCTTGTCATTTACAGGGAGGAGGAAGTCATACAAGAGAGGTAAAACTATATTTTGGTTTTTGGGTGCGCCTTTCCGATATTGCTGCACATTGGTAACGTCAAATGGGAAATCATTCAGGTTTTTTTTTTGTAGAGAATTTTGTAATGTTCTTTTTTTCAAAGTGAAGCCATTGGATGCGGAGCTATGGTACAAAGGCGTTATTATCATTTTTTTTTGTCTTTCCACAGATTTCTTTTATGTTGTTGATGAGAAGAAATCAGTACTTTGTATTTTGTAGACGTAAAGTGTTTCCTGGGTCTGCATTTTTTTATTGTTGAGTACCAGTCTTCTGGGACGTACTTGATGCTTTTTTCTATGAGACCAAAATCGCGGTCATTAGGCAGGAAAGAATTGCCAGAAACGACGAACTTGTGATCAATAGTCTCCAAACCTTCTGTATCGGCTAAGAGTTTGAGCCAAAAAAACGGTTTTGACCACCGCAGGCGTCACTGTGCCTCCGTATGCATGACCCAATTTCTTGTGCCTCCCGTGATGCAGTAGTCTCATTCTATGCATGAAACCTTTTTCATCTTATCCCCGTTAATGTATTCCAGGTTACATACGTACATATTCCTTTTGTAATATGCCAAGGAGCATGTCAATGTTGGAAATGGTAAAACTTTTGGAAACCAGAGTGGGCTAAGTCATACTTGTTTCATTCTGCCTTATAACGGTTACAGCTTTTCATTGACATATAAAAACAAACTGGTGCCTTCTGTGTGCAAAACTTGGAGATAAATTTCTAAAAACTTTCCCAGACAACGATTGCTTCACCCAGAACAGTATGCACATACAACCCCGAAATCTGAAATTTTGGACTTGGACCATTCTTGCTTTCAACGGCTCATCTATTAGTTGTACCAGGCGAATTATTTGTGTTGTCCTTTCTGAAGAGAGGTTATGTTCAAAGTTATGAATTACGATTCTTTCCGTTTTTTGCGATTTCGAAAACATAGAGAAGTGTAATTATCTCACATATCACAGAAAAATTCGGTATTACGCATCACACACAGAACACTCTCGCAGTGCCATACATCTAGCCGCTGATTTGTGTTTTCTACTGGACATCGCAAAAAAATTCCTATAAAATTTAAATGGCAATTGGTTCTGAAGAGTTCTCAACTATAATACATATAATATGTACAATGTACATATGTATTAATGACTTTACTAATGGTTCTGGCAGATCTGAGAAAGCGGTTCGGCATTGCGACGTGTACACAATTCTGGTACTCACCGGGTATACCAAGCAGTGCTCCAGTGAACCCCCCTCTACTCGGATCCAGCAAACCGCCGTTCGAGCCGAAATGATGGTGCGGATCGTCCATATGTGGCGGGTAATCTGCGGGTTCGGTCTTGGGTGTAATGGGAGGCTCATGTTCACCACCCAATCTCCTTTCTTCTCTTCCACCTCCAGGAGTGCCCCCGCCCCCACCTCCGCCGCCGTCACTGGTGACGGCAGTGTCGCTATCGCTCGCTGCCATGCTGTCTTCACCAGCGGATTGGGCTAGGATTGACGAATCGCTCCTTTCTACTTTCTGAAATTACAAAATGAATATCATCCATCCATCCGGCAACAACGCATTTATTTCCGACTAAATGAGAACAGCAGTGTTTAGACTCCGTCAGCTGTTTTGTGAAAGCCATGTTCTTGGAATCAGCCCTTATCCTCTCTAATTTTATTCGCGTTGCCTAACTGTCTTCTCTTTATATAACTACTCTTGTCATTACTTTGTGTAAAAGGTTCATCAAGACCGTAACTTGGCAAAGCGATCTTACCTCCTTGGTGATGATGGTCGGTCCCCCCTCCAACGCTTGTCCAAGCAGTGACTCTTGCTGGTGAAGATGGGCATCTCCATTCTGTCTCTGGGCGGGCGGCGTTTGACTGTTACCCAGCGGACTTTCCGGGCGGTCCTCCTGACTCCGGGGACGTTTCGAAGGCGGAGATCGAAGATGGTCGGGATCGTGGGGGGCCAGGCTCACGCGGTCGGGAGGCCATGGAAGGACTGTGGACGGAGACGTCTGTAATCAAAGGAGGTTTGTTTAATAATGATGAATGATATAACAATAGTTTTTCAAAGTAACCAATTCGGTTGATCCGCCTTCAAGACTGGACTACAGGGTGTCCCAGAATAAGATGACAATTGTCAGGATGCATATATGTACTCGTATATATGCACGATTCATAGTTATTGTCGATAATAACTAGCTAAATGAAAGGCTTGTCTTTGGGGATATCGACAAATTAAGCAAAGTGTATCCTTCTGACTAACAAATATTCAAGCTTTCGACAGACTATGCTGTACATCTTCAGGAGCTAAAAAAAATTTGAAAATAGTAAATAGCAAACCATGCTCAATGGATTAGAATTCAATTACCTAGCCACGTCTTCCCAAATACAATTTAATACATCAAACGCAAGCATCAATCTCATTGACGAAGTAAGTAATTAAATCTAACCAATTGAACATGGGTTGCTATTTACTATTTTCAATTTTATTTTTAGCTCCTGAAGATGACAGCATTGCCTGTCGAAAGCTTGAGTATTTGTAAGTCAGAGGGGTACACTGCTTAATTTGTCGATATCCCCAAAGACAAGTCTTTCATATATATATATATATATATATATATATATATAAATATATATATACAGGGTGACTTCGAAGTTGAGTCATTTATTTTAACAGTGTGTAGATCTGATCAAAAGAAATGTTTTTTTCCTTTACCATTTTTCTGGTAAAATTAAAGTAACAAAGTTATAGCCCTTTGGAAGTTTGAGTACCGCCCTGTCTCAATAATATCATGTGTTCGTGTTTGGCAACAACGGTTCATCGCATCGGAAACAAAAAAGCGAAAGAATTTGGAACGATGTTTTTACGATTACAATTCAGTTCAGTTATACATACAGTCAGTTTCAGTCGCGTGTGAATAGTGAAATAAAAAATGGCACATGTTTATGCGGATCGGTTTCCCAATCGAGTGCAACCAACCCCTCGTGCCTTTGTTAATGTAGTACAACGGGCTCGTGAATCAGGTGACTTAAGACCTCACAGGGGACCTCACGATCAAATACAGGTCCGCACTGAAATACTTGTCGGGAGGATACTTTATAAAACAAGGTAAAATTTTTTTTAATTTTTTTTTTATTTTTACACACATATTTTGGTTTATCTTCCTTCTACAATCATTATCTGAAAATTAATGACTCAACTTCAAAGTCACCCTGTATATATATATATATATATATATAAATATATATGAGCAGTAGTCATTGCCATTGCCAACGACCAGTTGGACAAAAAATACAATTAAATTGTTTATTGGGAACTGGGAATTTTTTGCAAATTTCCAACAAACAATTTAATAGTATATATATAACACAAAAAATGAAAGCGTATGTTCCTATAAAAAAATGTCTACAAGATTCCCCTACGGAGTTACAGGCCCCTCAAGTTCGTAACCGGAAATAAGGTTTTCTTGAATTAGTTTTGAACGACACTGTGAGCTTTAACGATATTTTGACAGCCCAGTAGTCTCACATCATGGTATCCAAGGAAAATAATTAAATCGTCAGAGACACAATATCCCTAACGTAAAGTTGCTGTTTCTTACACCCTATACAATAGTGTCCCAAAATTAATGCCTTTGGAAAGATTAATATTTCACCTAAAAAATGTCTTCTTTGATTTTCATAAGGTGAGCCGTTATCGAGAAAAAACAACTTTTAGTTGTAGTCACCGTTCTTGGCGGGTCAAAGTAAGACTACCAGTATCCCTTTATATATCTCCATCACCCTCATACATACAGATGCAATCTACAACTGTGTGTGAAAGTTTGTTCGGTAAGCTCAAATACTTAGGTTTTTTAGTTGTGTGTCTCAGTCTCAAAAACTTTGTCGTTACGTATGAGTGCCCTTCAATCATATTTGTCAGACTTACTTGACATCGGCGTGCAATTTGAGTTGTCCTGTTATACATCTTCAATATAATACAATGTCCGGAAATTCGATCAATGGAGAAGGCCGACAGTTCGTGCTAAATTTATTAGAGTATTTCCAAGAAGCGAATGTAAACAGCGGTCCCCTGTTACCCACTTCATGCGTACTGGAGAGAGTAGCAGATGCGTTGAAGATTAAGATCCGCCCATGGTACGGAGACTCGATCTGTATTTCATATGGCGTTGATGACGTAACCGCCAAGAACGGTGACTTCAACTATAACAATATCCCGTCGGGGCTTTTCAATTAAGTTTTGTATGTTTGCTTTCTTCCAAATTAGCTCATTTGATTGAAATCAAACAAGACTTTTGTTCAGCGAATGGACTAGTAATCCCAAACATTTCAGTGGCATTATAATAAGTTATTTCATAAAAAAATGATTTCCAGTAGTGTCGATTAGGAAACCTCAAAGGACATTTTACCCCACGCCTACTGGTAGATGAAGTCTTGAAGAAATTATGTTTTTGATTGTTATATGACATATACATCACGAAAAACCATTTCACTAATTTCCGTCCGTTTGTCTGTGGGTCTCTCCGTAAATCCTTGGCCCGTCTATAACTTGGAAAGTACTGATCAGATTTGGATAAAATTTTTGCACAATCAGTTATCAAAAGTTGTTGACAAGCCGTTTTACACCAGAGGTCCCAATAAGTGAGGCTACCGTGTTCGGACTCGCTCAGTGCTGCAATATGAGGAATCATTTTTCGTGAAAAGATCAAATAGTGATGTTTCTCACAAAATCTAAGTCTTTTTGATATCATTGTACTACATGGCAAGTTGTACTAGAAGTTGTTCGAAGGCGTGGGGAGTATAGAGTTAATCTACTTGACGCCACTTTTTTAGAGAAACTTGTGATATTATTTTTTATGTTCGATATATGCATCCGAAACTTCCTATGAACGTATATCCTAAATGTCTTACCTTTTGAGATACAAGTTGGGAAAATTTTCAAAATACGTAGTCAGTGGCACGGCACTGACTTACCTCAAAATAAAAAGAAAATAGTCTGACGCACGGTTTTCACTTACAAAATAAAAGCTATTTCTCTGCATAGTGATATTGTCATATTAACGATATTGTTATGATCATGCAGAGAAACAGTATTTATTAGCTTAAGCGAAAACCGTGCATCAGATTAGCAAAAAATCAGGTGATCATATTTGCTTAAAAATGATTGGAGATTTCAGGAATAATTTACCGTCAATGTCTGCAAAAATGAGCAACTGCAATTCTTTACGAACGCAACTGGTGGAAATTAAGAAAATGCAGCACATTGAAAACGCCTGATACATATTACATATAGTACATATATACGAAATTTGAATAAAATATCTAAAGTGGTAGGGAAACACCCTGTATGCCTCTATAATTGTATATTTATATTCGGCGCTAATTAGAAGATACCTAAGCGCATACCAACGGAAAACTATCATATAACCATGCACTCTACTTAGAATTCTAATTTTACCACCACAAATATACAATCAGGTCGGCCTATTTTTTCTTCGGCCTCAAAAAGATTATTTACCGGTATGTATTTCTAGCTATAAATATTCCATACATCACAATGATGCAAGATGCACCGGATATATTGATCATGATAATTATTCAAGGATCATGAGAAAATTGCTATACTATCAGACAAAAGTAAGCTATCACTTATACCTGTGCATAAATTCACAAGTGATTTGTGAGAGTTTTAGTAAAATAGATATTTCTAAAGCAGAAAATGCATTAAGAAATGGCATTGAAAAACTTGAAAACTATATAGTGTGAATTAAAGACTGTAACAATTTAAAGTATTTTCAAGACCGAAAAGTTGTTAGTCTTTAATTTTTACATGAAATACTGAAATAAAATTTTCTCCGAAATGCATAATCTGATAAAAAGGTAAATGCTTTATTCAAAAATGCGAAAAAGTCAGACGATTATACATGTAATTTTGCAAAAATGTGACGATTGCAGATCAAAATCTACATTATTGAAATTTTTGTACAATGCCAAATATATTAACATCTAAATTACGAAGTAAGTAACCTTTGCGTATATGACATTATGTGTAATTGGTTGTAGAATGATATCACGCCATCTAATAAAACACTCGATTGTCGTTAAGCCTGGCATAGCTGCCGAATTAACATAAAATGGTCGAAAATCCAAGGCTGATTTCAAGTTTGGCAAGGTAATAAATAATTATGAATTTCGTATGTAACAGACTAGAGAAACAATTATTCCTAGATTTACTTATTGAAAGTAGAAATAACGATACACCTACGTCGCGGTCGTTTCGCTTGTATTAGTGAAGCCTACGAAGAAGAGGTAGTATTCCTATACTCAAAATTTATGTTGCTGTTAATGTATATAAAATATGGTTGAACGAAAAAGGAAACGTACCAAAATTACGATTAGTTTCAGTTCGAATATTATGATGGTCAACCTGATATATATATATATATATATATATAATTTAAAAATGTCCTGAGTGAGGCCTTGATAGGGGTCTCATTACTACATTAGATAACTATTATGATTGATTGCTATGATTCACTCCAACAGGCTTACTAGCCATTTTACAAATGTTATTTTAATATGTTAAGTCGCAGTTCTTCAATCTAGCAAAGGGATCCTAGATTACTTCTCATCGTCGTATCAAATATTTCCAAAAAGTATTATTACATGTTGATACTAGATGTTAACTTACAGGTGAGATCTTGTTGTGGTCAGATGGTGTCAGTCTTTGAACGTCGGCCAGTCCTCTAACTTGTAACATTTGTGCAGTCTTTAAAAAGTCCGTGAGGTGTTCTTGGCCTATATGAACTTCCCCATTATACATAAACCTGAAACAAATACAGAAAATTGATCATTCGATCATTACTGACAATCAATAATGCCTTACAACACTTACTTCCACACAAGGCAAATCTTTTACAGACTCCAATAAAAATTATCTTATTCAATCGGTTTAACCGAGGGTTTAGGAGATCTAAATAAGAGGATAGAATAGATCGTGATTGCGCAGTAAACCAGGTGGCTTTATATTTCTGATGCAGCTATATACATCACAGTAATAGAGAGATAAATATTCCTCCAACGGTCCAATTTGAATATGGGAATAATATTACTATTAAATTGCACTATTTTAACTTGATATTGGAGTAAAAAATTCTAAGCTATACATTTTCGGCTATCCACATTTTTAATTTTGCAAATTTGGGATATGCAAGATTTTGATTTGTCTGACTAATGACTTCAAAACTCTGATTTTTCAAGTTTTGACTGTTTACCTATCAGCTAACATTTTTCAAACTTTCTACACGCAAAAATTGAAGACCCTCGATAGACACAAGCAACGTGAGTATTGCTGTTGACAGATAGATGTAATAAGTATTCCCTAGAAAAAAATCTTTGACAGCCAATAAATGCTTAGAAGCTTGGAAAACCGTTAACATTTCTGATTCCGCCCTGAATTATCAGGAAGTTCGTTGTACATAATGTAAAAGTGAAGTTTGGGAATGATCTGAACCCTTTTGTTTTTTCTCCATAAATGCGCTGCCACATGACCAATTTTCAATAATAAAATGTCATTACTATGTACTATGACCCCTCTCCCAATATTGTCAAAAAATAGACCAACGAAATTGAGTTGCATACTCTTCGTGATGAAATAAAATCTTTTTGACTGAAATTCGAAAATGTTCGACGTATGATCGATCTAATTTAACAAAGCATTTATAGAATCACCCTCGTAGTTGGTGAACATCTCCATAATCCGGCAGTCTACCGTTTAGATTCAATGAATATGCAGATCATCCGATAGCACAATCTAATGAAATTTTTCCAGCCTTGCGAAGAGGTAATCAAATTACTAGGCCAACGCTTTTAATTCTAGAGCTGGATCACGTATGCTATGCTTATATGCTTCTAAAAAACATTCGGTAGATAACCTTTGGACGTTATTTACCGATGATTTTTGCCAAGTCATTACTATTCAGACACTTAATTGGCAATATATCATTTGTATTATCCCACATCAGTATATTAAATTCTATGGTAATGAACTCTAGTTTTTTTGCTTGAACAGTCTTAACACTCAAAACTTTAGAGAGCATCAGTTGCAACTCTTACAAGCAGAATATCGCCAAGCTGGTTATTTATGGACTTTAGAAAGTCGTATTAGTTTATGAATGTCTCAGAGACATTTAGGCCTTTAATCTCAGCTGGCGACGGCAATCGTTCAACGCATGGCCGATTGAGAATAAGTGATAGTCAAAAGCCCTGAGGTGTATTTTTGAAGCAGAAGAATTGAGTTTTCTAAATACCCCGTCAATTATTGATTTGAGATGTATGCAATCATACAAAACTATCCTACTTTGATTGCATAATATGATAAAATTATAAGAATGGAGGTTTCTGTTTGAAATAAGTGTCTTCTGGTGTTGTTCAGAACTAAATTGGAATTCTCTTTTTTGATCATCCTGTATTATTATTTATCCAAATGTCGAATGAGATCCACTAAGGCAAGTCTCGAGCTATAGAAATCCGTTACAAATCGTATGAAATATTGATTTGTGATCTTTTAATCAAAATTAAAGTTATTTCAAAATCGGTTTGACTTAGATATATGCGATATACATAGAATCTGCTTAAAATCTTGCATAGAATCGACAAATTGAATAATAAACAGAGCTTCCCATTTCAAAGAGATAAGTTGCTAATTTCCGGTATAACCGGAAGTGTCATCATTTTGAAAATATTTTAGCCAAATTATATACTCGTATTTTGAGAAAATATCAATTATTGTCAAAAGTCAACTTTCCAAGTAAACGATCGCTGCAGTTCTTTGTGGGTACATGAAAATTCGTTGCAATACAAGATACTGGACAAATATCCTCAAGTTTCAGTTTTCTCTAAACGTTATACATATATACTGAAAAGTAATAAAAAACACGACAAAACTGGAAATGGACCTTGCAGTGGAATACTTTCAGTGAAATCTTGTTCCATGCAAATTTTTCCTTTTCAAGCTAACCTTTCTATCACCAATACCATAATTTGGAATTTAACAATGTATGCTATTAACCTTCCAAAATTTACAGTCTCGAATTTTATGATTCTTAATCACAGGCTCTGAGTCGTTGAATGGCCAGAATATGATGATGAGGAAATATTATTATTACTAGGTAATATGTATATTGGAATATTTCGCCGAATTTCTTCTGATCATTTGCATATTATTTACAGTCTGCCCACAATGTATTAGTGAAATCCTAGATTAGACGCTACAAGGCGATGGATATCGGGCTGTTTTTGCAATGTTTTGAATTTGAGCACCGTGGGTTGACCTTTTGGATTAGCATATACATTGCGTTCCAAAAAGGTATTTTCTTCTCTTACTTTTTGAACGGACCAAATTAGCAGGCCGGAAGTCGGACTGAGGAAACTGATGCATGGATACTATATTCTAAAGTAAAAGTAACATTTGAAAATTTCAAGACTATTTGCATTTTTTTAAATATTCGTACAATGATAACTCATTCTGAAGCTTCTTACTAGAGCATACATTTTTTCAAAATGACAGTCTGGTAGGTTGTCAAAGTTTAAATGTTTTGTACATTGAATCACTTATAACAACGGATCATCAAAACGCTATATCCATTTTTCTTTTGGAAAGATTTACCTAAAGGTACAATATAATATGTTACATCTAATAGGAAAATGGCAGGATTTTACTTTTTTTTAAATCCTTATACATATTCTATATTCAGACATATAGATTCCCCCAAATGAAGAAGATTATATCCTATACTATACAGGGTGACTTTGAAGTTGAGTCATTAATTTTCAGATAGTGATTGTAGAAGGAAGATAAACCAAAATGTGTGTAAAAATAAAAAAAAAATTTACCTTGTTTTATAAAGTATCCTCCCGACAAGTATTTCAGTGCGGACCTGTATTTGATCGTGCGGTCTTGGAGCACCGACATGCCCTCCCCTGTGAGGTCTTAAGTCACCTGATTCACGAGCCCTTTGTACTACATTAACAAAGGCACGAGGGGTTGGTTGCACTCGATTGGGAAACCGATTTTGTAAAGACTCCCCCCCCCGTAAATAAGAATCATGTCCACAAGTTCAGCATTTTCGTAAACATGTGCCATTTTTTATTTCGTTTGAGCCACGCAACAAATACCACTATTCACTCACGCGTTACCGACTGAATACAACTAAAAACATCGTGATAAGCGTTTCAAATTCTTTCGCTTTTTTGTTTCCGATGCGATGAACCGATGCGGATTATATCCGTTGTTGCCAAACACGAGCACATAATATTATTATTGAGACAGGGCGGTACTCAAACTTCTAAAGGGCTATAACTTTGTTACTTTAATTTTACCACAAAAATGTTAAAGGAAAAAACATTTCTTTTGATCAGATCTACTCACTGTTAAAATAAATGACTTAACTTCGAAGTCACCCTGTATAGTTGAGTGGTTAAGTACCAAAAACCGAACCCTGCACTCAGTTCGTCAATTTTGGCTTAGCGAACACGGTTTGCTTTAAAATAAACTAAGCCTGAAATATTCTTGGGGGTCTTGCATTGAAACTTCCGTTTAGCCAGATGGCAATATCAAATAAAATATTTTTTCACAAAGTTTTTAAGTATTGAAAATGTCTTTTTTGATGTTCTCAGACATTAAAGTCTTGAGAAATGTTCCCTAGAACTGACAATAAGGGTTGGAAAACTTCTCTCGTAAATGAGAGGTTCCACCTCGTCTGATATCGCAGCATCGGTTTAAAAATGACCACTGGATATCGTGGAAGTCGTAGTTTTCTTTAATTTTCTTCTAAAGTTATAAATTACACTTTACACCACCGATTGTTTCAAATTTTCGTATGCACCGAGGTAGGTATGCAAAAAGAGTGAAACAGTTGATATTGAGCAGATAGCAGCTGACAGCGCTTCCACTATTCTTTCGACTTCGTTTGAAACGTGGTGAATGTGCCCACATTTTATATGAACCAAGTGGGACGAGCAAGTCAGCAAATCATCAAATTAGTTGGTAACTGATTTATATCGACGATACTATCGGAATTCGATCTAAAAATCGCGAAAAATAAAAAGCATCGGAGCTCCTCAGAAAAATTCTTTTTATCAACCGTAGAGTTGTATCAGGTCGTAACAATGTTTATAGTGGAATTTTCGGGATTCATAGCTGGCGCGCGGCGCAAATTCCGTATTTTTTTTATCAGACATACATTTTTAGTCCAGGATCTTAGGTCCCACGAAATATTCATCATTAGGTGTGACTAATGATTAAACTCAATAGATGAAATAAATGAAAAACCAGCGATTACTAATTTGCACCCATACAAGAAACTACTAACTTCCGGTAGTGGTGTCTGGGGATACACTGCCCGATAAAACCTTGTATACTTATTCTTCTGTATTCATTCACTACCCTATAAAATAATCATCCAGTTCAAATGGTCCATTTGCAGGATTTTTGATCTACCACAAAAAGAGCTTTGCAACTTTGGGCCAGCATCTCGATATACAAAGGTGTATGATGTATTTAGACATAACTTTAAAATTTTAGATACAGGGAATCCCGTTGGACTACTAATAATATTGTTTTTTACTTTATGATATGTGCAAGCAGGCGGAATATGCAGAACGTATGTTGATTATGTGTTGAGTGAGACGAAATTGCAAAACACATTCTAATGACCTGTAACGGGCACAGTCAGATAAAAGCTATCTAGTAGATACATGACAAGGATAAGTTTTTTGTCAAGCTAATCCAATACAGTGAAAACTCTCATAAGCGGGCAGTTATGGTTCCAGCTTTTTTGCCCGCTTATTGGAGGTGACCGCTTAAAAGAAAATGAACAAATATAGCAATTGCACAGTTTTCTATTTTTAAGTGACATGATAATATATATATATATATATATATATATATATATATATATATATATATATAACAAAAAATAGGAAAATAATGGGCAAAATCCGCAAAAAGGAGGGAAGTGGATTCGAGCAGAAAATAGGATAGGTAACCCGAGCGATACGTATTTCTGCTGGTTGGCTTCATCAGGCCCGAAATGAATGCACATATGCAACAACAAAAGTAGATGCACATGCTCATACATCCGGATACGTGTGTAACCTGAGGAAACAAAGATGGAGGGGAAAAAACACTCACGAAGTCCACAACAAGAGTCAACCTACACATTGTAGTATAAAATAGCTAGAAGACCTCGAATTTTCAAGGCGACATCTACCCCATAACCGGCCGCGTGGTTGTGCATCTACTTTTGTTGTTGCATATGTGCATTCATTTCGGGCCTGATGAAGCCAACCAGCAGAAATACGTATCGCTCGGGTTACCTATCCTATTTTCTGCTCGAATCCACTTCCCTCCTTTTTGCGGATTTTGCCCATTATTTTCCTATTTTTTGTTATATACATTTCTGCGCATGATTATTTTCTCTCTCTCTATATATATATATATACATACATACTGTTAAATATATGAATTTATAAAGTATAATATGATAATTACATATATTAAATTAAGTCTTATTATAATACGTCATAATTTATAATTACATTTATGTATGTATAATGAAATACGTACATATGTATTGATGACATGCGCAAATAAATTTTTAAATAACAACAGAAGGACAGAAAACTTATTTAGAAACAGTTTGAAAAAATGTTAGAATAGTCGCATGCTTAAGTTCTTTGTTGCTTTGGCATCATCACGACATTTCTGAAAATGACATTTCAAACTTTTAATTTGTTCAAAGTCATCTTTTGCAAAGTTTTTCAGTCCTTTAACATAAATTAAGGCTTCATCATAGCTTTTTACTTTATTTTCCTCTTCTTAAATCTCCTCAATTTCGTCATCCGACTGATTTTCTTGATTAGATTCACCACCTATCTCTAAGACTAAAGGTTCAAGCTCAGCATCTTCTCCAGTTGGAGTGTTTCGATCAATGCTAACACATTCATCTAAATTTTGATCGTTGGTAATGCTCGGCTCATCCGCAGCTCGGACCATCGTTGCGAAAACAGATAATGGCAAGTCATCCTCGGGATCAAACTGAGGAACCTCTTGCCCAGCTTTTCTGAACCTAGCTTTTCAGAAACAATTTTCTATTGTTGTCTCATTAACATTCTGCCATGCCGTTTTTATAAAGTACAATGCTTCCAAGACAACATTTTTTTTTGATAATTCGGAGGATGATTTAACACCATCCATCATAATGAAGTATGTTTTAAAATCTGATTACGATAATAGAAAATTTTTAATGATGCCCTGATCCAGTGGCTGACTAATGCTTGTTGTGTTTGAAGGCAAAAAAATAATTTTAATATTTTTTAGATGTAAGTCTCGACGATGAGAGGCAGCATTGTCTAAAAATAGCAGAATTTTTATACTTTTAATGCCCATTTTTCGATCCAAGTAGGCTAACCACTCACCCATTATTTCGCGTGTCATCCAAGCTTTTTTATTTGACTTCCACATAACAGGTAAATCCGTAATGTTTACATTTTTCAATGATCGAGGCCGAGCTGATTTGACAATCACTAACAGTTTTTCTTTTTGTCCACTGATGCTTGCACAGAATAATACGGTTAGTCTTTCTTTCAATAATATTCCCCCAGAACACTTTTCAGTCTTTAAGGCCAGTGTCTTATCCGGAAGCGCAAGAAAATATAGACCGCTTTCGTCGGCATTGTAAATGTCTTTACACTGGTATCCCAAAAGCAATCAAGGAGTTTCTCTATAAATGCATCGACTGTCTCTTGATTTACATCGGACGCTTCACCAGAAATGCATTTAAAACTAACATTGTTTCTTTCACGCCACTTTTGAAGTCACCCATCGGATGCACTAAACTTTTGATAACCATAGTTTTGTGCAATTTCCTTTGCTTTTTCTTTTACAAGCCTCCCAGATATGGGATCGCTTACAGGAGATATTATTTCGTTCTATGTGCAAAATTTGCTGCCCGCGTCCGGTTACTAGAGTCCTGCTTATTGGAGTGTGTTTCTATGTTAAAATATAGAGGACTAAAATCGGTTCTACAAAATTTTGCAGCTTAGGGAAGATGGTCGCTTATTAGAGCTGCCCGTTAAGAGAGCTTTCACTGTATATCAAAAAGGACAAACCAAAGAATCTTAATGGAGAATCGTGTGTTTCACTAAGAACGTGCAATAATCCTATGTAGCAAAAAGACGCACACATGCGTTGATAATTTATCACTAAAACACAGGATGTCAGGATGAATAAATCCTCTGGTAAATCCTGCAAATAGGTGTTCGAACAAAGAAAGCTATTGCATATATGTTTTCGTCTATCAAACTTGATCTATCGGAAACAGTATTTAGGCTGCCACAACCGATTTTAGAGAAACTTCTAAACGAGCGATTATTGGGGCCAGTTGCTCGTAAAATTTTATTCAGTATATTGCAATGACATTTCGTTACTGAAGGTGATTAACTATGGACGGCGAATAATTATGAGAAAAGAAGGCAATCTACTCTTTTATAATGCGGTAAAATTAGTTCTCTTCACTAAGCTCCAAAAGCTCCTCCACTAAATACGGATTTATGTTTAATTATCTTGGTGATCAATACACCAATACACGTCACACTGCATTCAATATAAATGTCCATTATGATAGAGTCTGTTTCGTGAGCATTCATATCGTTCAATAGAAATTAGTTATTATTGATCTGTACGATTCTCCCTTGATGGTAATGGCGCCGTGAACATTATTTCCTAATAAGTATGGTCCAATGACACGTTCTGTCAAAAATTCACAGAAAAAATTTTTTGTGGGCGCATTGCTACCTCAAGGACAGTTATTAATGAACTGCAGTTCAACGCAAATGAAAATAAAAAGCCTCTTGTTATTTTGGAAAAGTCATATTATATCTACCATTGTACAGTGCCCTTTCCTTCCTTGAACCGGTACAATGTTGAAACGAGCAAGTATATAGGTAAGAGACGTCTGTAGTTTTTCACTTTCCTGATATACATATAAGGTAAACTGGCTTTACTTTTCAGGCACAGTTTGATGTTGATTTATCTATCTTTCCTTAAATATAATAAAGCAAAACAGCAATGCCGCCGCGCGCAATCTCTTCCCAAATATCTTTTATGTAAATTTAAATGTCACTAAGGCGAATAAACCTGCTCTAGTTAATGACAAACATGTTTTACTTTGGATTGAAATTAGGCAGGTCAAGAATATGGATTGTGTTTGGTTGTTGCGGATCTGGTTTGTATGTGTTACACATATTTGTATACGAGGCGAGTAACGAATACGAACAATGGAATGTATTTGGGTATGATCGAAATGCAACAGCTAGTCCAGTCAAATTAGAAAGTAGATTATAGTACTGGCGAGTGGAATACATCCAAATCCACATTTTCAAATTATTATAGAGTTTTTTTTTGAACGGATAATACCGTACGCAATTTTGTAAATCGGGTTCTGCTTGATTTATGTCTTGAAAATATTCAAATCTTATTTGAGGATTTATAAAAACATTTACCTTAATAAACTCTCCATATCTTTCTGCTGTACATCCCTGAGTATCACAATGGGGTGCTGGCAAGGATTTGCCTTCAATAAACTTCTAAAATAGGGACTACACGCTGAAAGCACGACCTTGTGCGCCGTAAACGAACACCTGTAACAAAAGGATCATGATTGGTGGGGCAACACCAAAGCTACATGAAGCGTCAAGCCAATAGCCACCTTGTCAAAAGGTACAAGTCATTTTCCACTCCATGCCAATCAAATCACCTGATTCAGAATTCTGAAAATACGGTAGTTGTTCACTTTTACTCTAGTACTTCCATGTCTTATTAGCAGTACTATCTCAGACTCTACGACATTCCTGGGTATTGAGTTGGATGCAGGATTAAATTGGGAGCAACAAGTTGACAGTGTATGCAGGAAACTGCATAGGTCCTACTATGCTATATTGAAGTTGAAGCCAAATGTCTCCAAATCAACGCTGATAGATGTGTACTATGCAATGGTGTATTTGCATCTGTCAAATCACACCATCGTTTGGAGACATGCATGCATCGCGTCAAGAGTGTTTATTTTTCAGAAACGTATAGTAGGGTTGATATTTAACATTAAAAGGAGAGAGTCACGTGAAGCAACATTTTAGCATAATAACTTGTTAACGCTTCCATATATTATATATATATTTATAAGTGTGTCTTCTGCACCTTCAATGATAGGGGCTAGATTGCAAAATACTTCAACATGAACTACAACACTACAGTAAGACAGGACCTGAGTATTCCTTCGCATATCCTGACAATGTTTGTAACATCACCAACCAACGCCTGCACCAAGGTATTCAAGAAGTTGCCATTGATACTAAAAGATATTAGATGCCCAAATACGAGTAGGGTCAAGAAAGAGTCGAGGAATCTGTTAAAAGAAAAATGCTACTGTTCAATCCATGAAATTGCATAAGAGGCTGAAGCTGCGTATATATTTTTTTGCGTTCTGATACTTTTATCTGAGTACCTTTTATCTTCTATTGGTATACTACTTAATCCTTATACACCTTGTTTCATTTTATTTTTGCATGCACGCATGCGTCCTTTGTCCTGTTTTCACGAATTGTGATTCTTTATATTTTAAGATATACTTTTTTGCCAAATTTATGTATTTATACTTGACATTTTTTTAAAATTTTGGTGATAGTGTACTTATAGAGGTACTTATATCTGACGAGTCTTATATCTACGATCCGAAAACAATAAACCATCTATCTATCTATCTACCGTCCACAGACAATGTTTGGTAACTAGTTCTTCAGCTCAAGGTGAAAGACTGACTTAAGAAAATGGTCCAACGGACCGCTCTGATCAGGCATATGGTATGGTATATTGTACTATTCATTTTAAAATGACAGAACCACTACTGTGTGACTTGGAATAAGTTTTGCCAAAAACAGGACCAACAAGGTGCATGAAGATGATTGATTCGAACTTAAGATGAATTACGTTACGTTAAATTGAGGTTTGCATGAATCAACCATAACTCGACCACGTGAAGTGCCAAAGGTCGCTGATCGCGGCGACATACTGAACTATTTAACTACATATTTCCATCCATTCACAAAGATCAAAAATTCCTTGCTAGAAGCATTCATCAATGCATTTGTTGATACGTAAGTCAATACTAGTACTTATATATCCAGTGGTGTAATCGGAGCAACCTCCAAGGATATTGTTTTCCTTTGATTATGTTATTATGTTACTTCTGAAGAAGTAAAGGTCTAAATAAATTATAGTAACACATAGGAGCTAATGAACCTTGGATGTCCTTGTTAGGCTTCATAGAACACTGCTATTCAGACATGCCGGAAAACTGTGGGTATGTGTAGTACAATAGTCAACCGACTCATATTCTCTTGTTTGCTTTCCGTCACGTGTCTCCAAATGACTAGACCTATACGGTACTGATGATTGCAAAAAGCATGAATCAACGTTGCATGCGGCTGGTTCTGGGCGAGAGACGGAAAGCAAATAGATAGTATTCAGCCTAGTCGCAGTTAGTTGACTACATGTTTGTGGAAAAGGACGCCAATGATACGTGAGTAATTTAACGTACATACATTCGTCGAATCAGATAGTTTTTAATACTAATGAGCGTGGGAGAAATATTTTCAAGTTAGATGGTCAAATATATTATTTATTCCTCCGCCTACACTTGTCTGCATCACAAAATATTCTACAGAAATGTTGGACATTGATTGCTGTGGATTAACCGGCAGAAAATTTACACTCACACAACAGTGTGCCAACGTGCATTAAAATCAAGGGGACTGAATAACTCGCAGACTACATTATTAGATACTAGGAAGACACTTAATGACTTGTAGAATGGGAGCCACTGAAAAAGCTGCAGCTGAAATAATCTGTACATTATAAACAAAAAACTAAAACAATTCATAATTTTTTGTAATGTTATGTTTGAAAAGAAGATAAAGTACATACAGTAACGTAAAGTGCGCTCGTCGAACAACTTGAAAAAGCTTAATGCAGACAAAGCTTTGTTCGCAAGAGGTGAAGTACACTAAAATGAATATTTGCTACAATTGTATTTAGATAAGTTACTAGAATTATAAAAAGTGACAGTAAAGGGATTGACTTCCCACTCAACTCAATTCAAAATGGAATAGAAACTTGTGTAGGTATGCTATCTTAAGCAGGATATATCGTAAGCCACTACATCTCAAAATAAATCATCATTATCATCATCATTTGTGTTTCATTGGTGGAAAATACCTACAATACATGTGATTATTATGTCTAAAAAGCCACTGATATGAAAGCTGCAGCATTTATAACTCTCCACTCCATTATACTCGTAACCCCCAACCCGCAGTGTACCATGTGGATTCTGGTGACTGGCACAAGGACTAAGTCAAGGACGAAAAAACAGGAGGTTTTGAAAATACGTCCAGTGACAACGAAGATGAGTGGAGTGAGAGCGTAGTTGATTTTACTTAGACGGCACTGGCGAGGAAGTATTAGAAACGTGAACATGAGATAGAGATTTTAGATGTTATAAGATATGTACATACATCAGGAAAAATCATGCCGCTCACTTCCATCGATATGTCTGTCCGCGAATCCTTGGCGTCCATAACTTGGGAAGTACAGCTCGAATTTTCACAAAAGGTTCCTAATGCCAAAAACGTAAAAGATGTAGTTTTTGAAAATCGGCCCACTGGCGGAGATTTAGGCAAAACTTTGTTTTTTAACGTTTCAGAGGATCCTGATCATATACCGAAAAAGGGGTAAAAAGTGGATGTTGGTGGTTGTAGAGTCAATTTTTTAATGTTTGCAATTTATACGTTTCCAACCCCGGTAGTTATACGCACCTAATTAGACATATTTAATACATATCACAGATTTCCCCATACATTTGCCCTTAAGACTTGAATGATAGAGATATATTTTCGATACACGCGTGTGAGACAACTCAACTAGCATACGTCTGTCTGCTCTGAGCCCTGACGGATAAATGAGTGATTTTGCGTATAACCATGTTTGTAAAGCCGTGTTGGATTTGCGAGTACCGTGGCTGGCAGCGTCGCCACGTTGCTAGATGGTCCGTACTGTCGGTGGGGTAGTAGGTTAGATCACAATGTTGTCAAAATCTGTGAGAACTATGAAATACTTGGATGAGCCTGCTTGACTAACATGATCCATTCTATTCTTTTGATCGTAGCCATTTTTTTAGGGACTAACTTGTGTCGAATATAATCCTTTATGAATTAATGACAGCGTTGTGAAGGAAGTGCAGAGTCAACCTGCTTGATGCATTTTTCATCTCTGAACATATTAACAATTTCTTTGAGAAAAAGTACATTTTGAAATTTCTAATACCCAGTATATCAGTAAAAAATCAATTGATTCAATCTTTTCAAATTACAAAATACCGATTTTGTACACCGAGGTGGCCGCAACGTCAGTAGAGTTTCAAATTCTATATCTGCACCTTCATTTGACGCCTAGGAAAATACTGAAACTAAGCAGCAAGCCAACCATGCTCTCGATAACGATTGAGCATGCCAGAAACATTATCCATTCTCTGCTCAATTTTCCAGCCTCTTCGTTTATTTACGGTGGATTTGTGTTTCATAAAACACTGATGCATCAGACGAGTAAAAAGTCCATTTTTGTAATGAATTTCGCTACACTAGTTCATATTGATATTAGTTAATATTCGATGTATTGAAATACTTCCAGTTGAAATATCTGCTACTTCAGAAAACATGCACCTATGGAGCTTTATAGCCGTAACTTTCCTGAAGTATTAGTAACCGTGCACTTTTGGATGTCATATGTGGTACCCAACAATTGCAGGCATCTTTTGAGGTGATTTGAGTAAAACATGTTTTGAACATTTCACATTTAAACACATTTTGTGAGTTTTTATCACAAATGTTGGATCAAGCGGACTAATGGCATAAAAACATTGATCATGGAAATCTTACCCATCACAGGCCAGCGTGACATCAACGAAGTCCTCTGCGTCCCTGAGGTGCCTGAACGAGCTGAGTATGCTGGAATGGAAGTCATTCCAGCGCAGCGAGTATTGCTGCTCCGGGGAGGTGTCGCCCCCCATCGGGCTTAGTGAGGGGGCTATCTCCACGCCAATGGCTGGGCCGGACCAGGGGCAGGAGTGAATCGAAGAGTTGATGCTGTTAGCTGCCGCCCTGAGGGGGCATCACGCGCGTTGCGCTACCAGTGGTTAAACATGGCTGGGGTAGGTATGTTGGTGGTGATCTGAAACAAAGAAGATTGATAAAAAATATAAAAATACATACATAGACATACAAATTTCGTGGAGCTGTACCAAAATAAAAAGATATAAGGCAATTTTTAATGGATTTTGGCATTATACTTTTTCTCACGGTCTGTGGTTATGTGTGTTATTCTTTTATTATGCGAAAGTATCGCGGTAATTAACAAATTAGTAGGCACAATAATTCTTGTTGAAAAACATACAAAACCGAATTCTTGCAGCGACCAGACTCTTCTGCCTTTTTGGTAATTACTCCGCCACCAACGCATCGATTTTTGAAAACAAATCAATATCATATACTATGGTCCTACCTGTATCATATTGTTACCCGAACATTAATTTCCGTGCAGCAGTACTAATCTAATTAAGCGGTTACAAAAGCTTTCGTGACATGGAGTTCATAATCATAGAGGATCAAAAAAGCTTGTAGTAGTAGCAATATTTATTTGTCTCCAAAATACAGATCCATTACACATAGAATTTTGTAGGGGACGAATAAATGAAGATCCCGCAGGAAGATGGCCCTGGTGAGCGGGTAAAAAATTTACAAAATACTTATACAGGGTGCGGCAGAGAGGACGGACGTTTTTGGGATGGGTAGTACTATCCGCCTCCGTCTACGAGAGAGGTGGGGAGGGTGCCGTTGGACTCGTGAGATCCTAGAATTATTTTACCAGTTGTCGTTATGGAGCCTTGGACGGTGGAGCACCGCGTTTTCGCCTATGATTGTTTTGTCCGAAATAATGAGTCAGTCATCGTTTCGTCGCCACTTCGCAGGCGCGGTGAACTGAACAACAGAAGACCAAGAGGAGCGCCGCGAACAGTTCGAACTCCTGAAAATGTTGAACGCGTTCGACAGGTCTTTCTTCGCAGTCCGACTCGATCTGCCCGGAAACATGCTGCTGCACTTCGCCTTAGTGATCGTTCGGTAAGGCGAATTTTGCATATGGATCTCCGCTTTCACCCCTACAAATTGGCCATTGTGCAACAGTTATAGCCCGGAGATTATGCACAACGAATGAACTTCGCACGTGAGATGGAAGCACTGATCGATAAAAATGAGCACCTCATTTTGTTTATGAGTGACGAAGCCCACTTTTACCTAAACAGCATGGTTAACCAGCAGAATGGTCGTTATTGGGCTAATGAAAATCCGCAACAGTTACACGAAAAACCGCTGCACAGCCCAAAAGTAACGGTTTGGTGCGCTGTATCGCAAACTTGCATCATTCGCCCTTACTTCTTCGAAGACGGTAATGGTCGTGATGTTACCGTGAACTCAGAGCGCTACGTCTCCGACGTGTGTGGTTCCAGCAGGATGGGGCGACCGCCCACACAGCCCGAGCATCCATGGACGTTATTCGCCCTCTCTTCCCTGGTCGCCTTATTTTCAGGTTTGGCGATGTTCATTGGCCTCCTCGTTCCCCAGATTTATCCATATGAAATTTTTTCTTATGGGGAGACCTCAAGGCTATACGCGAACAAGCCCCGAACTCTGGACGAATTGAAGGGCGAAATTCGCGTGGAAGTCGCCCAAGTTGAGAGAGCGATGTTGGAGAGAGTCTACGCGAACTTCCAAGAACGCCTCCAGCACTGCATCAACGATTTCGGCCACCACATGCCTGATGTGATATTCCACACTTGACTGTCTCAAATGCTATTTCCTTGTGAATCTGATTCCATCAATAAATTTGTTTTCGAGTAAAATTAACTATTTTATGATTTTTTTAAAACCGTCCATCATCTCTGCCACACCCTGTATAATAACGATTGTGTAACACAATAGAAAGATGTTCTCTATTCTTATTTAACATATAGAATTGCTATATCAGCGGAAGTATTAAAGGATAACCTGTGCGTGGCCATTACATTCAACTAGACCAAAACTAAACTTACAGATTTTAAACACACAATAGGTACTACAGGCAGTTTGAAGTTCAACTAAATTAGAGACTGATCTACCTATAGCGATTATTTTTCAACATATCACAAGGAAAGATGAACAGTATACATGAAAAAAGTAAACATCAATTAATGAAGAACCTGTAACTCACAGTGTATCTCGTGGTACTTAATCCTCCATGTCTGTGTGGCCGCTTAATGATGCTATGATATATGGTTCAACTACTATTTAGTGACAAGATGTTTCGGCTACCGTAGTGGCTTTTCTCAAACACAAATGACAATTCTGATGACAATATATTGTCATGACAACCGTGGTGGCAGAAACGTCGTATCAGTAAACAGTAATTCAAACATATGTGTTTTCATTTAACAGCTAGACAAACATGGAGGATCGTTAGTATGAAAACCACAGGATAAGTTTTAGGTGTTACATAAAAACCTATATGTTAAGTTTCTGTAATCTGAACCCTTAATAATTTAAGTCAAACACACATCATACTTTTTATGGGACCCAACAGGTTTAAAGGGTTTGCCAGTTGTGACCTTTTACGGTAATTTATACTCACCCTCCTTAATATGAATAAACACATTGGCTTAGGGTTAATTTCAATAAAGCTATCTTGGATATGGTCGAAAATTGAAAATATCACACAATACAAATAACTTGGAGGGTGATAATCTCCATACTAAACGATACTTTCTAGATGTTAATGTGTCGTAGAATCCTATTAGCCTTAAAAATTAACACTCAGTTAAGACAGATACGTAACGACCATTGGGTACTGTATTTACCCTAACCACAGGATATAAGGAATTGTCGAAGCCAACATGTGAGCTGTCTGAGCTAGATGGAGAGCATTTCGTATATCTTTCCGAACCAGTTGTATCGTATCCATCAATAACTAACGAAACACCGTAGTTCTGTCGCCTTCTGAGCCGGCTAAATGGATCCGTGAGGCGTCTTGTTTCTAGAACACTTTACACATAAGGCACTGGCCAGGAGAATTCGTGGCTGCATTGAAAAACTACATAAAAAACTTGGTTTTGGTAAGATTTTTCTATTAACCAATGAAATATATCAAAACAAACGAACAGTCCACTTAAATATAGAAAAGTCACGCGAGCATTTGCGACCACATGTGCAATTTATGTTTTTTATCCGTTAACGCATGACAGATCAAAACAAGCATCGAAACTGGCATAAAATGAGTACTCTATTTTTAAAATGTTTGGTCAATCTGCGACAAATCGTATAAAAGTTAATGGCAATTTTTCATCAGTTTGTTCAGCCTAAAGGTTGTATATGCTTGGCATTAAAACTGAGGAACTGGCAAGAGAAATATTTCAATACGCACATTAATAGCAATTACAAACGGTCTGACAGTAAAGTGTATTTTATTAGTAGGTTTTTCGGGAGTGAAGTTGCACTTTTCAGCTAACGCACTCGTATTTATTTCTTGTTAGCAATCACTTCAACGACTAACAACCGGCTATACAGACTTAAAGACTAAGCTAAATCTCATACTTCACCCCATAACCAATCACGGATAAGATTTTATGTATTTGAGATGTAATAAGCGTTTAAGTACCCTGGCCTGTTAGATGCCGTGGAGCTATGGGTTCTGACTACACTCTGGGTGTCATAAACGCCCACTCTACACCCTACATATACATAACATTATTGGATAAACTTTATTGTCACATTCGCATCATTAAGCGATCAGATTCTGATTATGGAACGATCTCAAATATTATCAAAATGACGACCGATGTCTGTTGGGCCTCTCAAAGGACATTATGAGAAAATAATATGGTTTTGTAAAAGAGCACATTTTGCTTATGAGGCGCAGCATGAGTCCTAATTTTGCGGGGCTTGTTATTTTCTATATTTGATTACCCCAAACGAATTGTACTGTTGATCAATTGAGAATAAAGTAGTTGGATGAACCTGAAACCTATCAAATATTCAAAGTCGTTGTACAGTAGAAAATCCCTGTAAGCCCCTATTCCGTTATCGCCCCAAACGCTCTCTACCAGGAAAAACTCAGTACGTCATTCTGTGGATGTTTGATCAATTAAATTGCATCAAAGTGCGTATTGATTTTGCAATTATCGGCGACCAATCACGGATGGACTTTTTTCTTTTCCGGACTCCGGCCTCTGCTCCGGCGGTAGCGGAGAGCGGGTGTACTTCTGCTGCTTGCGCACAAACCGTTCATCGTAGTTTTGCCCCGTTTTTCCGATTTTCCTCTCGCTTTTTCTAGTCCGCCCACCCACCCCCGCTTGCCGTTGTTCACCGTCTGCATTGGCGCACGAAATGTACTCAGGAGTGTACACCAGAGAGTAATTAGTTTATTTTTGTAGAAGAAACTTAAGTAGATCAATTCCTACACAGCATGCACTGGAGTTTATTTATTAACAGAGGATGCGAATAAAGTATCTGCCATAGTTAGAGAGGTGATTTCTTGGGTGATTCTTACATATGTCCGGTAGCGCCTCTTTTTTGAGACACAAGGGTTCAATTTTGGAGATTAGTTTTTTGGAAGACACATTTACAACCTGTCAAATAATTTCAAAATTTTAGCAGGTACAGACGTATCATCGGAAATTCAACTAAAATCCATTCAGCAAAATGATCTACCAGAACCACAAATGGTGATGGCGATCTGGACCACTGGATTTGAATCCACCGGGTTTTTTAATTATCTCGATGTACCTACATAACTATTAGCCCAGCTTCTTTCCTACTCCTGCAGCCTTCTCGTCCACTTATCTAATTAAATTTATTTGCTATTTGCTATTCGCTCACATACGAAGTGCTACATACTATATTCAAATTGCTGTGGATGCCATCGATGGAGCAGAAACAACTTTAAATCCAAAAATGATCCGTGTGAAAGACTTGATATTGTACATCGAAGACAGGATATCATTTGAGTACCATGGATATTTAATGACCAAAGAGGAAGTGCACTATATAGTATGACTGCTTCATTTGAAAAGTCTTTCTTCGAGATTAACGCTATTTAGTGAGCGTGGGTACCATGCCACAGCTGATTGAGAGCTTTAAAAGCAATGAGGTGACCTCTGTATGGTTGGTTAAGATTACTCTACAGGTACCGATTCAAGCTCTCTAAGCATCTGCTCTACTGATATGAAAGTTGAATACTAACGTGAATTTTGTCATTGAGGCATGTTATACCACTTCACAGACTATAAATCATCTCCACCACTGTGTCTCTTCCCGCTGGATCGCTCTCCTGACAGAGCGCGCATTGCCGGTGGATTTTTTGCCATTGCGCCATTGCCATTGTCCACTCGTTAGTAATTTTTAGTGTGCGGCTCAGGTATTGATTTTGGGGTATTCGGAAAACCAATGCTTGGCATGCCTTGTTTTCAACACCGAAGACGGTTGGAAATAATGATTCGCATGCACGGAATTATCGGTAATTCATTGTTTTGGCTTTGCTGGTGGGCAGCTGATTTCCTTTCTGGTCGTAATATGTCAGATGCATTTTTATACATGCCTCGCCATTCTGAAATATCAACGTTAGTGTTTTCTCCAAGGATTAGTTTTGGTTCACACAGAAAAATTGTACCAACTATGGTACTCAGTGCAATGATAATTTTGCTTTTCTGCCTAAACTACCACAAATTTCATTTCGTGAACGCGTGATTCACAGATCGCAACTGATACAAGCTTTCTGAGGATTGGAAGTACACAACACATTACAACCTTAGTACAAAGTCGAAATGTTATGTGGATATTTGTAAAATCCCTGAAAAAAGCCAAAATCGTGCGTTAAGCCATCATTTGTTCAATAATGAAGAGCAATTCAACAGTTCTGTTATTTTTTCATTTATCTTGATACATAGTAGGTTTATACAAGTACAGGGTGGGCCAGTGAGAACGAAACAAGGCCAATTTCTCATCAATGAATAAACGAACGTAAAGCAGCTTTTCACTTTTGATGCTAATTTTTCAGTGTGCCTATTTACAATTTAGTATTATTCAAATTGGAATTCGATGGTGCTATTTTTTTTTCATACTTAAACCACCACGAAAGTATAAGACCTAATCACACCCATGGGTACCGTAAGGCTATAGGGGGATACAGGAGAAAGGGGGGACGCCACACGGACTCTACCGATGGAATACGTCTGCGAAAATCAAAAGGTCCTCAATTTTGGCCTAACAAACTAGCCTAAAAATCGCTTTAAAATAAATTAATCTTGAAATAGTATTCAATGCTCTTGTAGGGGAAGGTTTTAGCTTTAATTTGGATATCACTATTAAAAATAGATTTTTAACGGAGCTTTTAATCATGGGAACTCGAAAACGACTAACTTTAGGGAACATTTACTAGTTGCCTTTCTTGTTTAGAATGTTCCGAGAAATCAGAAAAAAAATGTCGGAGCTAATGATTTAAGCGGGAAGGGTTAAAAAATCGACCAAAAGGTGGCACGGCAAGATCCGGATTATTATTCGTTGACCTCTTCTCAGTTGATATCTTTTCATAAAGTGCAGTCCTCACAAAAAGCTCACTCAATTCCATCTAGCGCCTGGTCTATTTTGTTCAACATTTTTTATTCAACTGCAGAAAGAGTATCGATAATAGAACTCATGAAAATGGTAGGTGCGCTGATACTACGAAACGAAAATACGCGATTGAAGTTATAGCGAAATTCAGAGACAGGATTGGTGGCAAATCGGAGAAAGAACCCACCAAATGAAATAATGGGAGACAAAGTTCTGGAAGTTGATGTGTTGGGCCACGTCCCAACTCAGTATCGATTCCAAGCAATTATTTACAGTTTCTAGCATACATCGGACGAGTATTAGAATAATTCTGAAATCTCATAGATCCCACCCCTATAAAATTCATCTTGTGCAAGAATTGAAGGAAGATGACTGCGTTTAAAAGTTTGCGACTTAATGAGGGAACGGATAATAAATAACCCGAATTGGTTGTTCAACATTTGTTTTTCATATAAGCGTGAACGTCATCGTCAGAACTGTTCGTATTGGTCTAATGAAAATCTACACTTACACCGTAAAGTTCATAATCAGCATCCTGACAAGCTAAATGTATGGAATTTATGGCGACCGAGTTGTTGACCCTTTTTTCTACCAGGAAATCTTAGAGGAGAAATTTACATGCAATTTTTACAAGTCAGATATTCTTTCCTTGTCCTTTATTTTACGAAAAAGTGTTCTATCGTTCTCTGTAATTTCAAAGAGATTCTGCTTGACATAATATTTTGTGATTGTGAAAAAAGGATTATGGTTGTATTGTTTGAAATAAGATACAATAAGAAATACCAGAAGTGGACGAAGTTTTTTGAATGATTTGAATTTACACCCTTGCCAAATTTTCTCAAAAGCTTGTCCGAAAAGCCACGATGCGATGCGCAATCGAACCATTCACAAAGCTAAAAGAAATCGTTTTTCTTTAATAAACAAGCGATACTTTATCACGTGATTTTGAATTAAGCCTAACTCAAAAACGGTTCGACTTTGTTCTAATGTATATGTGGCTTAACGTGTACCAAATGAGGTGTACTATCGCCCCTAAAAGGTTTTACGATCCCTAACACCCTGTATTACTCTTGCAAAATATGTGAGGGAGAAAACAGGTTTGGTAGGTATTACTTGATGATCGATTCTGGCTTGTTAGTAGGTAATTATTGTGTAGTTAGATTATAATGAGAGGGACCATTGTCAGACATACATTATAATATATTTTTTTGTAATAACTATCCCTGTATATTATCTGGGACTAGTTTCTTGGGGGGAACACAAATTCTACTAGAATGCAGCATAAAGTGTAAGCCATAGATGTAGTGTGTGTAGTACCCATTGTGCATTTGATAACGGTTGCTTATTTGCTTATTT